GCTTTTTTTTTTTTTGTATGCAAGTTAATTTGTGGGCGCACGCCACTTGGCTACACTGGGAGCTGCTTTTTCATTTCACATGTGCTGCGAAAAGTGCTGTGCAAATTTTTGCGCACGAGCGAAACTCAAACTGTAGCTAAAAACAGCGCAGCAATTTCACTTCGTCCCACAAAGTGATGGAGCAAAAGTTAAAGTGCCCAACGGTAGGGAGGGTGGATGGGCGGAGTGAGTAGTTTGGGATGGTGTGGGGACTGTTCGTCGCTGTCACTGCCTTAGCTCGTGGTCCTGAATGCCAAGTAAGGCAAGGCGGCTGAAGGAGTCGTCGGCAAGTAAATCACTTGAACAGCAGCAGCAGTCAAAGGACGAGAGCGGGTAGGGGGTGGTGGGGAGGCGCACGTTGCGCTGCCATTTTGATTTAGCAACGACTCAAAAGGTAACTAACAAAGGCAGCTCAAGCCCAGCCAAGACATGGCCTCATCCAGACGCAGCAGCAAGTGAAAAATATTTTCTGTTTTCTTTTTTTCTTTTTGCTTGGACCGCACAATTTTTCTTACTTTACCTACGGTATGGAAGCATTTTTTGAAAAATTGGCTGCTACTTTTCGGGTTGCTGTCACGTCAGGGCGCCAAGGTGAGCCCTTCACGAAAGTTTTGCCCCAGCGCCATAATGATGATGTCACCACACAGACTGCCCCAACTTAACCTGCCCCTTACATAATTGTAATGGAATGGATTTATTTAAGTATCTGCGCTCCCAGAGATTGACGCATCGTCAGCGCAGAACGCAGAACGCATAACGCATAACGCAAAAGGCAACTGCAGAGATTTAGCCTGGCATAAGCTGAGGCTATAAGCATATATTAACAATCTCTGTGATAAGCGGGCGAAACTTTGACGCTGGCCTAATGAGCTTTAATAAAAGTCAAGCTGCAACTTGGACAGCATCCTTACACACAAACGCAACGGAAGCGAGTCCAAGAAAAGAAAAGTGGCCACGCACGCTTTCAAAGCAAACCAGAGAGGGATGCGGCGCAAGCGAGGGAAAAGGGGGAAAAACGGCAACGCAGGCTGCTGTGCATTTGAGCGCAAAACTTATTTCTGTCACGGAAATTAAATTTGCTCGCTCCGGGGCCAAAATGAGTGAAGGCCTCGACGCTCAGGCAGTGAAGCTCTTTGCCTAAATCATGCCCGACAGCCTCATGGAGAGGGCCGTGGCCAAAATACAAAAACGCCCATTGCACACCACCCGCCCCTCCCCTCGGAAAACTTCGCACAGCTTCACAATGTTTCCTTCGCCCTTGGTCTTCACTGCTAAGGCGACAATTATACGCTTTTAATCTCTTTTGAACGTCGCAAACGTGCTCAAAATTCTCAAAATCTTTTCGCCCACCGTCTGAAAAACAAGTGAGAACTTTGCTACTGATTGCTTGTATTTTTTTTTCGTTTTGTGAGGGTGGTGCTGGTTTGTACATAGATGAAACACGCCTAAAATCTATTGGGAAAATCTGTTAAAAGCTACGTTGAACACGGTTGACGTTTGTTCAATTACTTATAAGCAAAACACAACTGAGGATTGTAGAAATCCTACATTTTCTAAAGCCATCCTGAACATCATTCAATTGCTGAAGTTTGAAATTGAATACTATTCGGAGAGGTTCACTATTCAAACATAACTTTTAATCTTTAATGCCTTAAGTCAAATTTGTTGAGAGATTAAGTTAGAAAAAATACTGTCTGTTTTTTTTTTCTACTCAAATCAGTTATAAAACATTAGCATATTTCAATTTCCCACACAGTCAGCTTGCTCACGTGGTCGACCCTGGTGTGAATTTCCCTACTCCCGCTTTCGGATAGCCGCCATTAGGTGTCATATAAACGAATGTCCAAGTGCTCCTGTTTAGGTGACCATATCCATATCCAACACACACACACATACACTCGAACCTACACATATACACATGCGTGCATTATGTGCCGCAACAAACGCCAGCAGCAGCAGCAGCAGCAGCACTGACAGCAGCAGCATTTTATGCCACAAGCCCCCAGTCATTCTCCCTGCTCCAGCTCTTAACCACGCTTTTGTGCAGCTGTTGAAAATTATATGTTTACGGGGAGCAAAGCCAAATGTAAACGTAAACACACATTAACTTTGGTCGCATACAATATTTTTCACTCAAGGTTGTACGCGAAGGGGCGGGGGAAAGCAGCGAGGAGGCGTAACCATGTCCATATGAAACGGCCGCCAGTAGCTGTGTCTCGACCTAAGCCGCCTGAGTATGACATGCCACATTTGACAGCAAGCGCAAGCGAGCCCCTTGCATATATTAAAAAGGCAAATTGGTCTACTTTTATTTTGGCTCACAACAAGCACGTGTTTTGTTTTGGCAGCTGGCAAACTAAACAATATGACAACCACCAATAGTTTTGTTGGTTGCAACGGTATTTATAACAATATTTCTTTTTTTTCTCTGGGTAAAAAAAGGCACACAGATAATTAGTAAAATTTTGCGATTGCAGAAAATGAACAGCAGAAACATAAAACTATTAAATTTACTTACACATTTTAAATATAGTTTAGAAAACCATTCTAATGATTTGTATAAGCATAGATAATTTAGCTAAATGTATAGAAAAGCCTTTTCAGCGCATTTTTAAAAGCTCAAATTAATGTATTTATTCTTATAATGATCGTTCGAAATGTAGAACAGCATTTTATTGTGCAGATTGCAAGGAGGGTTGCACAAGCTATAGATTTTCGCAGAGCATCAGTTACATCTTCGCTAAATATGAAAGATGTCGATAGTTCGCCAGCGCTGTTGTCATTGTTGACATATTTGAACAACTATCTGAAGGTGAGAGAGCCAAACATTGATTTCGTATTCGAGGAACCACCTACCAACAAAAACAACAACAAGTGTAGATGGCTTAAGTGTCCTGGCTGGTATTTTATCCAGCACTCTCAGATAGGGTCTGGCATCTCGCCTCGCTTCGATTGCTTTTTCTACGCCTGTCGCATATTTTAAATCCCCAGTTGAGTGGCAATCAAACAAGCAGCCAGCCAGTCAGCCAGCCAACCCACCCGGGCATTGCCAGCTTGGCCACCCCTTGACATCTACTCAGTTGTACGCCTCAGAATTTGCCACCCTAAGGCCAGGCAGCAGACTAGCTTAATTAAACAAGCGCAGCGGCACCTTAACGACCAACAGGAGGTAAAACAGCCGGGGCTGCTTAGCTAAGATGAGGTTGAAGATGCGGATGAGGATGGGGATGAGACTGAGCTCTGGACAACTTTTAAAAATGATAATAATTTGCTCTCGGCAAGCGCTGAGCTAACGCATTTGACATGGCTATCGTCCCGTGTCCCTTTTGCGTTTGCTGCACAGTAAAAAAAGAATTAGTTTCAATTAAATTCCTTGTATTATTTCTATTTAGTTTTACATTTGTCGTGTACTAATTGAAAACTTGATTTGTTCGCTCCACTTTTTTCTTAAATTAAATTTTTATAATTGTTTACCTATAAAATTGTTAACTGTGTGCTCAGCCTAGCTCATTGCCCGACCACGCAATGGATGCCGCTAACAATGTCTCCATTTTGTTATGGCCATAATTATATTTGACTGCCGTTACCGTTACCGTTAACGTTGTCATTGCTTTTCGCAGTTGCCTTTTGCCATTCGCCTCGCCGTCAACGGCTTTGTTCTATGGGCTAATCCAGGTGGCCATAGTCCTGGCCTTTGTCGCTGTTTTATTTAATTTCTATTTTCATTTCAATTGGCAATGTCAGGGGAACATAGCCATAGCAATGTCAGCAATGGCAATGTGAATGTCAATGGGAATCGGAATTGGAATGGCAACGGGAATGGAAATGGAAATGGGGAATGTTGGTGGCAACGATGGCAGAAGGCGTCGTCCTTTCAAGTCAGCCTACAATTGCTTTATAAGTAGCTAGGAATCGTCACTTTCTCAAGTGTCAAATCATTGCGTTTTCATGGCGATTGTTGTTGTTGTCGTCGTTGTTGTTGTTGCTGCAGCACTTGTTACATGACCAATTGCACATTCAAGTGCCAGAGCCACCTGAGCCGACACAATGGCAATCCGTGGAGTGGCCTTTGCAAAGCGAAGCACTTTACGACTGTGAATCAGCTCATGCTGCAAATCAGCACGTCGACACTATTGCAATAGTTGCGCTTTTGTGCAGCAGCAACACAAGAGAAAATGTAACCGTTTCGTCGCCTGGACGACGGCTCTGCGATTCGCTTCACTTGATTTCTATGTAATTTTCAAAATGGCGCCAGGATAGTGTGTATTAGATCTGAAAGGACTTATAATCTCTCGAGTGAATCAATGAAATGTGAAGTAGGTAGATTGGCAACAAATTTGGTGTTGCTCAACAGTCAGTTGATCAATATTATATCATATATCATATCATATATTCTCAACAAATAAGAAGGTTATATCTTAAAAATTGTAGCTGTCATAGCCATTCGAAATCGATTTAAATCGATGCAAGGGAAATGGAGGGAGTTGTCAATAAACTGAATCAAACAAACTAATACGAATGGATTCGAACAGGCTGCTGCCTGTTACATTCTTTTGCACAACTTCCATAATTTAAACTATAAACTAATTGGTTTATATTTCAACTCATTAAGATTGTATCTACTTAAGAATCCTTTTCTCTGGATCATATAATAAAGCATTAGTTATGCATGTGAAAATTAAAATCCAAGTGCACGCAGCGTGAATAATTCTTTAAAAATATCAAAATTAAATATAGATGCACTCACAATCAGACAAATGTACTCAGAGCCAGACAACTGGGTAGGAGCCGTGAGTCTGCTCCAAAGGGTGGGCGCATCCCCATCATTTAGCTCGCTTTTTTGCACACAACCCAACGAATTTAATTTATTCGTGCAACTTTTTTATGCCGAATTTACGAGCACTGCACGAAAACTGGTAGCTGTTGCTGTTGTTTTTACTTATATTTTTTTTTCTCTCTAGCTGTTACTGTGGCTATGGCTGTGGATGAGGATGGGACTGAATCTGAGCTCTGCTTGTGGCGGGCATCAGCTACCAGGCAGCTAGGTTCGCATCTGATGACTGTGTCCTTGCTGCTGTTGCTGCTGCTGCTGCTGTTGCAACGTCCTGCAATGGTGCGCGCTATTCTGTGTTGCGTGTTGCCTGAGTCCCCTGCATGTAAACGTCATAGCCACACCAATTTATTTATTCCTGGATTTCAGTTTTTAGTTTGCCGTACGTTTTCCCAGTACTTGCTGCGCAACAAAGCCAAACGAAAAGCGCATAACAGTGATACATGCATGAGACTGCAGAGATAAAGATACCCTGTACAAAATAATCTTTAAGATATCAAACATATCTTATCTTATGTTATTCAGTTTAACTAAAGTATATACACTTTCTATCTGCTTGGAACTATTTAAATTTTATAAATACAAAAATGCAGTTCAAATGTAGCACAACATCAACAAATTCTAAAAGCAAGTCGTTATTTTTACTTTTTCGACTATTATTTAAATGCAACAGGAATTATTCGCCTGACAGACCGTGCTTCATGCTGTCCGCATGTGGTATAAAAATCACTTGATGCGTTGAAATGGCGTTGCCAGACTGTCGAGAGGCGAGTCGGTCGCAGTGCGCGTTAAAATTTCGTTATTATGTTGACAGCATTTTTGCTATTTTTACTTGAAAGCTTAACCAAGCACACAATCACACACTCAAACGCATACACACACACACGGAGAGAGAGAGAGAGAGAGAGATAGAGAGAGAGGGGGAGAGAGAAACACACATGACGTCCCTTGGTGTTATTTTGGTGTTTCCCCAAGCTTGTTTTTTGGTTCGCTGGCCCTGGTCCTGGTCGAGGTCTCAACCGTCGTCGCTTGTCAGTGATATATGTAAAATATTTTACCAAGTGCAGCCACCAACTGCAGGCAACTGAGCTATTTTGTGGCAATAAGCATGAAATTTAAATGAGTGTCGGCCCCCACCCGGCCCACAGACGCACCCGACCACTTATTCAATCCCCAAAACCCCAATTCCCTCCTCTCTCCCCTCTCACATATGTGGTTGCATATCCAGGCAGAAAAAGCTGCTCTTGTGAATATCGCTAGCAATTAGTGAGCTCGTCGTTCCAAAACACACGGAGATATTAAAGAACACATTCAATATACATATACAGATTTACAGGTATGCACATTTTTGTATATACAGCAACTCAATCAAATAATTGTTCAAGTGGCGAGCGCAAAAACTAAACTAGCAATATGCACAACACCAAAAATAGATCAAATTATTGTATTGCACTGCGAGGTGGCATAGTTGGCAAGGCATTGCTCTATAAATGAATAATCAAGATGTTAAAGGCCAACATATAAATATATAGGTAGTCAACACTTAAACTTGAGACTTTTAAAGTCATTAAACAAAATTATAAAACACAAATTAGGTTGCTTGAGAAATATATGATTATATTGACACTGAATTTCTTAGATATTGAAAAAAATACATTTATTCTGCATTTACATTTTAGTAATTCGATTTTTCTTAATACACATATCAAAGAAGCATTAGCTACAGAGATTTTACTTAGTTACAGTCATATTTTTGTTAATTTTGTATTTGAGTTGTGTTTATTACCACAAATTGAATATTTATTCCGGATAGACCGGATATCAATTACATAGAGTAACCTAACAAAAATTGCTTGTTAATGAATCAAATCGAACTACTAAAATTCCAACAAAAGCGCATCTATGCTTGTTGAAAAATGTATTTTGAAATTCCATTCCGCAGAGATTAAACCCACAACAAAATGTTAATGCAACTGGCAAAAGCTATAAATAATACAAATTCAGACCAATTTATATGGTGGGTCGTATCAATGTCCTACGCCTGACCAAAACTATGCAATATTTCTAAAAGCATTTTGCTACCCTAATCGATGTTCAGAAAAAGACCGAGAGAAAACGATATAAAGAGAGAGAGAGAGAGAGAGAGAGAGAGAGAGAGAGAGAGAGAGAGAGAGAGAGATTGGTCTAAGTACAGGAAGAAATTAAAGGCAACATTTGTTCAGTTACTTTATTTATTAAAAATGTTTGAAGCTAATGTTAGTTAACTGTTTATGCAGAAGGATGTGAGAGGCATGATCAGAAGCAGGATACTGAGAATCCTGCAAGGCAAAAGCTACAATGCAACACAACCTGCGAATCCTGACAGTTGTTTATGTGTGTGTATGAGTCTCTATGTGTGTGTGTGTGGGTGGGTTATGTAAGGTGCAGAGTAAATGCGCTTGGGGTTGCCCTTGCTGCATACATATTTTCTCTGAATGGGGATGCGCTTACACAAATTTCTGGTATTATGTTGCATACTATTCCTTTTCGAGTGGGACGGAGGTAATTTATGATTTCGACGCACATTTGTGTGGCCAAGAACACAGTCGAGAGTGGGAAACACAATGAAAATTTGGAATGAGGGTGAAATAGAGCGACAGGGATTCCCCCTCGAGGCCAAGCAGCAGCTACCGGTAAAACAAAACCGACAAAAAGCAAAACAAATGATGTTAAGTGACGCGCAACTTTTGTGGAAATGAAAGCCAAGCGTTCGATTCTCAAGATGCATGATAAGATAAATAGAACAAAAGTCCTGCAGACACACACCAATACACACCCAACTACGGTTTGTGGGGATGTTTTCTAAGAAATGGTACGGGCACGTGCAGTCAATCAAGGGCGCTGTCAGGAATGTATGTATATACATATATAAAAATGTACATTTATAGTGAGAGCAGCAAGCAAGGTGACTAACACATTGCAATACTGGATTTGAACTTTTCAAGTACGTTCTTAACCTGCTCATATAGCATTTCAAAAGACAACAGACAAAAACTACGCTTAAATTGTATTTATCTGTGTGCTTGTAATTTGGTAAGAGCGATCAACATAAGTTAATTTGAGTTTCCCATTACTTTTAATGCACATTTAAAATTGTATTATTTGAGTAGATATTTTTTAATGTAATATCAATTCAAATTTGATTATATTTTGTAACTTTTCAGACCTCTTATCGTTGTAAGATTAAACATCATACTGGCCTCTGTTGAAAGGCTGGTCTTTCAAGGATAGTTTGCCATCATTTTAAATAAATCGACCGGAGAATTTATCTCATCTCTGCACCAATAATATTTTAAAGATGTTGTGTCTCCCATTGCCACAAATGGAATTCCTTTTGAGCTGATGTATTCGTTTCCATTTAAGATTTATGTGGTTGTTAAAGCATTTAACTAGTCAGCGTTTAGTTGCCTTGTGCATAATGGGTAAGCTTAGACGCATTGAACTCTTAAGCCAAGTCAAAGTGTCTTGCACTCTTTGCACGACACTGCACCACAGGACAATCCTTTGGCGACGGCGAAAATCCTTACGGTTTCCATTTCAATCAGTGCTAAAGCACACAAGCGGCCTTCGAATGGCTTCCAACTGTGATGAACTTGGCGTTTTTCAAGCCCGCCCTTGCATTATTTATCGCCGTAATTTGAGAACTGAGACAGAGACAGAGACAGAGAGTTAGAATGAGAGAAGTGTGTTGAGTCAAAATACATAATGTGTTTGGGATCGTTGTGGAGGAGTAGACCAATTAATGCGACTTCTTTGGCTTCACACAGCTGACGACGACGACGAGGCTTCATTAAAAAATCTCATCAAATCCGAATAAGACTAAGTTAGTTCATCGATTTTTTTGTGCACTCTCTCTGTCTGTGTGCATATTTATGATGACTGGCAAATCAAAAATGCAAATAAATTTCAATTTTCTAACTGTAACTCGGCACTGAGGCGGCAACATGACAGTTACAATTACAGTTGCAAACAGCACAGCAGCAGTAGGAGAAGGCAGTGTCACAAATCAAGCCAACTCAGTGTGGAGAGATAGGGCGACACAGAAGAGCTGGAGGGTGCCATGGGTACACAATAAAAAATTTGAATTCCATTTGAATTCCTTGTGTTGTTTGTTTTTATTTAATATTTTTTAAGAATTAAATATTCTTTAAAGTATTAAATATTCTTGTCTTTCAGTTAAACTAATTTAATTTGCTAAATTGGGCAAGAAATATTTTTAGTTGTATTGTGATATTATTTTCAATCCAATCTGTGTGTTAAAATAAAAACAAATAAATAAAAATCGATTTGGATTCAATTATTTTAAGAGATTAATTTATTTTATGAAAGAATTTTGCACTGTGTAGTCTCCATCTCATATGCATATTTATGAAAATTGCAGTGGCATCTTGTCAAGCCTGGTTGCCTTCTAGACTGCCTGTCTGTCCATGAGTATTGTTATTAAATAATCATTTTGTTGCAATAAATTTCACTTTGTATCTATGTCAAGTGAGTGGCAGCTTAATTTGCCAAACAAGTTGAGGCTTTCGCAAACGCACTTTGAAATGTATAAATGCTGAATGCCAAAACAGTTGCAAATATGTTTTGACCATTTACATATAGGTGAATACATATATATATATATATATATATATATATATATTATGTATACATAAGTAAGCCAAAAGGCCGGAACTGTGTGTTAAAAATGTACGCTGCAAAGTGAATTAGCTTTATTTTCAGGATACCTACGAGCCTGAAACTACTTTGCAAGCTCAATGAAATTGTAATTAGGTTTGCATGCCAAATGAATCGAGTGGTTTCCACCCAAAAAAAAAAAAAGATTAGCTCAAATTTGTTTAAATATTGACGGAAATTTACCAGCTCTACGTATATATTTTTTGATGGGGCTATATATCACAGCCAAAAGGCGAAAATGGGCGCATTGAAATTGGCTAAACGGAAACAAAAACGAAAAAAATAAAAGTGCAAACGAATTTTTACCATCTACTCCTACTACAGTCAAATCGAACTAAAAGTTAAATTTTAAGCCAATTGTAGCCGTCTGTAAGGGGACCCAATAGAGAGTCGCCATGCCGCTATGGCTGCTGTCCCCCCCACTGTCCGACAGTGTCACTGTGAGCAGACCTGTGAAATGTGCATAGCATCGAGTCCAGGGACCACAGTCCAGTTGAGTTGAGGCATTCGAATTACATGCCAAAGAGGGATGCCTCTTCGATTCTGGACTTTGATAGAAATGTTTAAAAATTCTGCTTCTTGCCACATTCATATGCTGCAACAGCAACCTGGCTGCCTCACTTTTTTCCACGGACTGGGGTGGCACCTGAAATTCTGCAGCTCCTGACAAAGACAGAGACAGCCAGGCAACATGTAAAGTCGGTCCTTGGTATTTCGTTTTGGGGCAATCGCATTGATCATTCGGATTGCTCAT